AATTGGTCCTGCCAAATGCTAGCTGGTTGAGGTAACTTTTTAAATTTCATTTCACAGGTGGTGAGCACTGCCATGTACGAGGTGCATGCTTCTAGCGCAAACAAGCGCCCTCCTGAATATATCTTACTGGAGTCTGGATTCACACTTCGTGATGTCATGAATGCATGCAAGGAAACTCCCTCAGCTACGCTAGAAGAAAAACTTCGTGTGGTAGTTGGACCAAATTTAAAGAAATCTAGCCTGTGTTTGAATTGCCAAGGTAGTTGGACCAAATTTAAAGAAATCTAGCCTGTGTTTGAATTGCCAAGGTTACTGATTGGTTCATTGGTTTGTGCAACATTATACAGACTGTTTTCACTTGTTTTTTTCCTCTTTATAAAGAATTCAGACTGGTTACATCCAATTGATTGCAGGTCCAATGATTGAACCTTGTGATACAAAATCATTAGTTGTGTGCAAATCGTGTTTGGAGAGTAAGGAGCCAGAATTCCATAACAGTCCTTCTAAAGGAAATGGTGCTCTTAACGGGTATGGCTCATCTGTCTTTATTTATCGCTACAATCTTTTCTTTGCAGTTGAATCATGTGAAAGTAAGATGAGCATACAATTATCCTGTTCAGTTAGTTTTTCAGACTGGGTGGAAGGTAAAACAAAAAAGCCGCCGATCTTACCCCGGAAAATGATTTTCTAATTATGTAATGTGGATTACGAGCTGTATGTTCCTCTATTATATGGTTGCTTATGTAGAATTCTGCAAGTACTAACATGCATGACTTTATTTTTGGATATATCTAATACACCACGAAATATGTTGACCTTTATCTAATTGATTGATTCTAAATCTGTCCCAATTTTCAACAGTTCGTCTAGGCCAAGTGTGGATCCAAAATCTATCCTTAGTAGGTCAAAATCCAGTCCTCGCCAAAGTAACAGGCAAGAACAACCAACCAGAAAGTGAGTATTGTTGTTATATTGATGGTGCCAACTGTTTGATGGTGTGCTTTCTAGTTTTGTGTTTTTGCTGCCTTTTTATATTATAATTAGTTCACAATCTGCCGTTCATCATTCTGGAAAATGAGTAAATGAGAATATAATATTGGAAATGTGGCATATATTCTTTAGTTATACATTGGGGTTATTGGCTAAGCTAAACTTATCTTGGGGTTCTACAGGTCCACTGAGCCAGGTGTGGTTCCAGGAACTATTCTGAGCGAGTCAAAATCCAGCTCAATCAAAAGCAACAGCCAAGGGAAACTAACCAGAAAGTGAGTAGTGTTGTTATAAGTGTGACAGCACTGATCCGATGTATATATGGTCTAGTGCTAGTCTGCTAGATTGTCGCCTTCCTTGCCGTCTGTCAAACTTATATTAGTTCTGAGTCTATCTTTTGTCATTTTGAAAGGGATGTGCGGCTGCATAAACTTGTTTTTGAGGATGATATACTGCCAGATGGGACTGAAGTGGGTTATTTCGTTGCTGGAGAGGTTAGATCTGCATGAAAATTGGCTTTTCTCCAGCCCTTTTTTGAAACTTTTTTTCTCCAACCATTTTGTTCCTTGTGCAGAAAATGCTTGTCGGCTATAAGAAGGGATTTGGGATACATTGTTCTTGTTGCAACAAAGTGGTAAGCTCTCTTTAATGTCAATTAGTTTTACTGGCATTAAAGTATATAGGGGGTCTGAATCAGCCTTTATAATGTTTATGGGACCAGGTCAGTCCTTCTTCGTTTGAGGCCCATGCTGGCTGTGCAAGTCGTCGGAAGCCGTAAGTTCCTTGCAACTGTTTCCATATATATGCTCTAGTAGTAATGGGTCTATACCTGTTCTACTACTTTTTTTCTTTTTTTTTTACCGGTTCTGATATAATTAAACTGTAGTAACGTAATAAAATAGTTTGCTGAAATATCAGAGATTGAGGATTATAATGAAGCTACTCACATTCTCCTGGGAAACCTGATAACCAGAACCATTATTTCTTCGCTCGGCCATGTATTGTCAAAGAGTAAACATAAACATTTTTACCCATGGTTACAAAAAGTAAACATAAAACTTGGATAATTAGTGTAAAAGTCGTGGATCCTTAAGATCATTGATTGTACGATTCACAGAGAAACTGTTGAAACAACTCATTTATTTTCTGTTGATGATCAGGTTTCAGCACATTTATACAACCAATGGGGTTTCTCTTCATGAGCTATCAGTAGCACTATCAATGGACCAGAGGTTTTCCATCCATGAAAATGATGACCTTTGCAGTATTTGTAGGGATGGGGGTGAGCTCTTGTGTTGTGATACCTGTCCAAGATCATATCATAAAGGTTTGGTATTTGCAATTTTCCATGTTTGTTTATTAGAATTCTTGTATTGCTACTTTGAAAAAGTTTTTGGAGCTTACCTTTGATAGAGCTTATCTGTCTGTTTTGGTTTTATCTAGTATGTGCTTCTCTATCAAGCCTTCCGAGTGAGAGGTGGTCCTGCAAATATTGTGTGAATATGGTTGAGAGAGAGAAGTTCGTGGATAGCAATCTCAACGCCATTGCAGCTGGGAGAGTTCAGGGAGTTGATGCAATTGCTGAGATAACCAATAGATGTATTCGAGTTGTCAGCTCCTTTGGGACCGAGCTCCCAAGTGTATGCGTGTTATGCAGGTGAATATCAAGCTTTTCTATTATTTCAAGTATCTTGGTGGTTTCCTTTATAGTGTCTCATTGATGCATTACCTAATTTTCTGTAACAACCTTATAAAAATTGGTCGTTGTAGTTTAATGAGTTCTTATTTGGCTAAAATTTTGTTCTATTTTTTTTTTCATATTTCTAATCCATATGACTTTAATGTTTTTTTTTCTAACTAAAGGAACTTGAAAATGTTTGGTTGAGAAGATGTGTATACATTGGCTAATTGAAACCATTTCCTTATGAGCCTGACCTTTGCTTAATTTTCTTTGCTGTTGCAGAGGTCATAGTTTTTGCAGGTTGGGCTTTAATTCTCGCACTGTGATTATCTGTGATCAGGTACTTTGTTGGTCATTGCTGTATAGGGGTCCATGCCTCTTAAATCTGCTTCTGGTTTTCACCATTTTTGGTTTTGTTGTTGTCTCCTCAGTGTGAAAAGGAATTCCATGTTGGCTGTTTGAAAGAACATAACATTGCTGATCTCAAGGTGATCTACCTATTTTGCTCTTTCATTCTCTCGGGCGAAAACTCAGTATCTATCTATCTCATTCTTGTTTATGTCTTAACAGGAGCTACCTGAAGAAAAATGGTTCTGTTCCGTCGACTGTGAAAAGATCAACACTACATTGGGCAATCTGATAATTCGCGGAGAAGAGAAGCTTACTAACAACATTCTGAATTTTATAAGGACGAAGGAAAAACCTAATGAAGAAAGCTGTCCAGATGACAACACCACTCCCGACATAAGATGGAGGGTCCTTAGTGGGAAGTTGACCTCTTCGGATGAAACAAAAATATTGCTTGCAAAGGCAGTTTCCATTCTTCATGTAAGTCAAGACCATATTTCAAACGCTTCTGTTCTTTATGAAGGCCTAACTTTGTTTGTCCCTTGTAACCATGGTATGCTATAGGAGCGGTTTGATCCTATCAGTGAAACTGGGACCAGGGGAGATTTGATACCTGCCATGGTGTACGGGTAAGCAATTTTGTAGTATCTTCAGTAAGTCGAGTGGATTATTCTTTATGCTTGTGAAACCTATTAGCTGATGAACATCTTTGTGTGTGGAACAGAAGGCAAGCAAAGGGCCAAGATTTTAGTGGCATGTACTGCACCATGTTGGCTGTGGAGTATGAGTCTTCTTCTTTTCACTCTAATTTATTCTCTGTGACGCTTGTTTCATCCTTTTTATGTTGTCTTTTTTTCTTTTGCTTGTGCAGTGAAGTGATCGTTTCAGTGGGAATCTTTAGGGTTTTCGGGTCAGAACTTGCAGAACTCCCTCTGGTTGCTACCAGCAAAGATTGTCAAGGGCAGGTAATTAGTTTATATTTGGAACCTTACATTTTTTTTTTCTTTACAAGAGGTGCTTACTCCTAGTCTCCTATAGAATGGTCAATAAACTACTAGCTCTTACTGTCAAGCCCATACACTGCTAATAATAGAGTGATACATCTACGCACACATGTTTTTGTCTCTGTTTTTTTTTTTGTTTCGAATAGCTTAAGAGTGGAACAATGTGTAGCATAGAAATTGCAGAAGGAATTCTTGTGCCATATTTTACCAGCCATCCCACACAATATAAATCTGATTTCTTTTTCTTTTTGCTGTAGGGTTACTTCCAATGCCTGTTTGCTTGCATCGAGAGGCTACTTGGGTTCCTAAACGTAAAACATATCGTGCTACCAGCAGCAGATGAAGCCAAATCCATATGGACTGACAAATTTGGTTTCACCAAGATGACCGACGAGGAGGTATATATCTAGAAAAGCTAGTCAAGAAACTTATATACACTCCCAATGAATCACATCTCTGATACACAGTGTTTGTTGGTGTTATTAGGTGAAAGAATACAGAAAAGACTACTCAGTGATGATCTTTCATGGAACATCTATGTTGAGAAAGAGCGTGCCTGCACCGAGTGCCCCAAGTAAAACCGAGGGCAGTAAGGAGGAGTAAGCTCAAGGTTGTCTTTATTTTTTGGTTAGTCGATGAAACGATTGGATGCTCTTTTTTAATCTAATTTCGGGTAGTAGCCACGTTCGTGTACAGGTTTTTCCCCTAATGCGTCTCTCTTTATAACGGAAAGAGAGAGGAAAATACACAAAAGGGTAGAGAATTTGGTTTTGGTAGAGAAGAGTAGAGAGATGGAAGTAAACATGGGGCATTCTTTTGGTGGTTCAATTGATTATGTATGAAGCTAATTTTTTGTATTATAGTGCCCAGAAATGAAATTTAATTTTCTGAAATCTATATCCAAGTTATAATTAAAACTGAAAATAATATTTTGAATTAGTGTTAATTGGGCTCTATATGTAGGCCCACAGGGCCAGTTAATTTTCTCGGTAAGTAGAATTGATCCGCTAAACCGGGAAATTGTACCGGTTTAGTTAACGTCGAAACGTAATCAAAATTTAGGGCACCACTAAGCGGGAAGGAGCGCCTCTAAGAAATTTCAAACTCAAAAAAATCGAAAACAACCGTTGAGAAAATGCCCCTATACATCCACATAATTACATCTCTACCCCACAATTCCTTTTTTTAATTCCCTTTAGCTTTCCCTCTTCTCCGTCCCCAAAATCCATTTTTCGTTTCCGATCGCATTTCTTCTTCTCAAGGTTTGCTTCTCTTCCTGATTCTTCGATTAGGGTTCGATTTCTGATTTCTTTACTTTCTCTTCGGTGTTTAGGTTTAGATTACTGATGGATTACCCTATTTTTTTTTTGTAAGCTTGATAGACTTTTTCTGGGTGATATAAGAAGATGGGTCAGATCCAGTACTCCGACAAATATTTCGATGATACTTTTGAATACAGGTGATTCTCAGTTTTATTTTATCTCTCCCAATTGAGTTTCAGTTTATGATTCTCTAATCGCGTTTTTTTTTTCTCTCTTAGGCACGTCGTACTTCCTCCGGAAGTTGCTAAGCTTTTACCGAAGAATCGCATTCTCTCCGAAGTAAGTTAAATTAGGGTTTTTCCTCTAATTCTTTCGTGTACTGTTATTGAATTGTAATTTTGATATAATTCTTGAATCATCGAAGGCTATGAGATTTACATGTATGCGAATGTCAGTTTAGGAGAATCATCATGCCTTTCTGGGTTTCATTTTCCCTGTGCAATGCCAACTTTTTTTACTGATCAGATTTTTCATGATTTGTAATTTTGTAGGTTATTTTATAGTCTCTTGTGAGAGTCTGGATCATGTTTTTTCTTACAAGATTGTTTGATTGAGATCATAAACTTGTTTATAAACGTTTAATTATGTAACTGTCAGCAGTGATGAAGATAGTTTAGACATTCTTTTGTGTTATCAGTCACTTCTCAATTTCCTGATTTTGAAGTTAACAGTTGTATTGTTGTTTTACAATCTGGTTTTGTAGAGTGAATGGAGAGCTATAGGAGTGCAACAAAGTCGTGGATGGGTTCATTATGCGATTCATCGTCCTGAGCCACATATCATGCTCTTTAGGAGGCCTCTTAACTACCAGCAGGAGCACCAAGCTCAGATTGCTAAGTAGAATTATGCAAAATTCTCCCTAATCTCTGTTTATGTTTCTCGTAAACGAGTTTTTAAAACACTACTCTGATGATATATTCCTTTTTCTATTGTGTTTAGGAATTCTCTTCAGTGGAGAGAATCATGTGAGTTTGGTAGAACAACTTTTTATGTTATGTTAAGTCTGGTTCTTTGCTAGACTTTGTTTGGATCCACGTTTGAATTTCTTCATGTTTAAGCTGTTATTTCTCATGCTTATTTGCTTGTTTCATCATTTCACAACTCTTTTTATTGCTCCTCTCAGATGCTTTTGTTTAGTTGTTGAGCATCTTAATCTGTGAGTAAATCAATCAAATGGAACTCAAATTGGATGTGCTAGGTTATGTTTGATAACTATTTAGGCTAACTGAATAATCAAACGGCTGATTTTGTTCAAAGAGCAATGTTGATACTATGTGGTTAGGCAATGTGAAACTTAATTTTGTGTGGTTCTTCTGTGAAGAGAATTTTGTGTCGTCTAGAAGTTATGAATTGAAACTTTGGGGGTTGTTGTTTGAGCTTCATTGTGAAAGTTAGGGCTATAGATCGAAGCTCCCAAATAAAACTTCAATGAAGAAACATTAGTTGATGTTCTTACACACTTGACTCTTCTTTTGTTGGCTCACTGATTTGAAAATACCACAGTAAAGAAAAACTCAAAGCCTAAAACGATAAACTTGTAATCAAATCAGAGAAACTGGTGTCGTCTTGCTCACCGCTACAATCCATTATGAGCGGACACATGACCCGCTTTCTCTAGTGTTGGAGCCGCAATGCATGATCGCCATCAATTGGCAACGATGCCATATAGCCATATCGGCCAATTTTTTTTACTGTGGGGCTTTAAAACCAGAATTTTAGCCATTTTTAGAGTTTAACCAGTGTGCTACAACATATTTTTGTACGATTGTGAATTCATACACTATTAAGTATTAACTTCTGTGAACGTTTTATTACATAATAAAGATTTTGTTACAAATTTTAGGCCTTTTTTTTTTTTGTGCAAAGAAAACTTTCATTCATCTAAATCCTCACAAGAGATGGAAGGTGTGAGCTGCAATGCTTCTGTTTTCTCTAATGCTATCAACCTTTCTGCCTTTTATGCTCACAACAGAAGGCACTGCTCCAAGAACCTGGAACTGATTGAACCGTATGGCCTCCTTGTGTGGACTTAGTCTTGATCTCTGCAGAATCAGTGTCTTGTCGAAATTCCCTATCTCCTACCTGAAACAGAAAGAATATAATGTTAATTGTCAAGTTCATGTAAACAAGAACCTGCAGGAATCCTACGTTGATAGCTTGATCCACATAAGCTTCTAACGCTTAGGTTCTATGGCTAAGGCAATCTACATTCTAACCAGTATCAATTCTCTAACACCACTCTCCAAACTCAGTTTCATAGTTGTCCAATTTCCTGCTGCTGCTATCCTCAGCTTCCTCTGTCATGATCTGTACACCACACTCTATAATCTTGTCACCGATGTACTTGTGGTTGAACTCAAATGTAATCTCGCTCATAGTCACATCAACTTCATAGCAATTGCTTCGTTGGCGAAACAAGTCACCATGAACTATAAACAGATGTTTTGACCGAAAACTCAAATCATGATATGGAAGCTTGCAGCTCTGAACCTTAACACCTCCTTTGCTTCTTATACTACAGCTTATACCTTCATATCCGTAGTCATTAACTGGGAAAATGACAAGGCAAGCCTTAAACCTTGAGGAAGCAGAGAGTGTACCCGGAGCCAGAGGGATGGTTATGGATCTCCCTGTAGCTTTGTGAGTGAACTCTGCAGGGATTTTTTTACCTGGTAAGCATACATAATCGTAAATTGATTTTTGTATGATTCCTCTTCTTGCTTCTTCATCCAGTTTAAAACAGTTTCTGAAACTGAGTCTCTTGGTTGGGTTATGGAAAGAGAAGCTTTTGAGTGATACACAATTGTCTGCTTCTAGGAGACGGAGGGAGGGGGGAAGACCCGGAATTGACTCGAGTTTTGTGCAGCTTTCGACAGAAAGCCATTCTAGACGAGTGAGACATATGACGCAATCTGGAATCGTCTCTATATCACTGCCATCAAGAACAAGGTTAGTTATAAAAAGTGGTACATGTGTCAATCTCTTGAGGCTTGTGCTGCAAATGTTGAGGTGATCAAGACGAGACAAACATCCAGCAGCTGATGGAGGGACATCTTCTATATCTGTATCTCCGAGATTGAGAAACTCGATGTTACTGGAGATATCTGGAAAAGTTGTCAACCGTGAGCAACCACCCATGTCGAGTCTCTCAAGAGATGCTAAGTTGATGTTGGTGGGAATAACTTGTAGCATAGAGCAATAATCAACATTTAGAATCTTTAGTTTTTGTAGATTCTTAATAGAAGAGGGAAGCTCCACCAAACTTGTGCAGTACTCAAGTGTCAATTCCTCGAGATTAGTAGATTTTGAAAGATTTGGGATTTCTTTCAATTCACTTGATAGCTTCAGATCTATGATCTTGAGATTAGGAAGGGACTGCATGTTAAACACAACAAATGAGAAACATTTCTTATTTTCATTAGAAGCACTAGAAAGACTATCAAATACCAAACCTGGATTCCTCCCCAGAGCTTCTCGAGATTGCTGTGTCGCATACGGAGTTTCACGAGGCGTTCCGGCTGAAATCTTAAAGGCAGACTTTTTCTTGGGTAATATTTCCAATGTAGTAACCTAAGAAGAGGTAAATAATCCAAATCTTCTGGTATTTGCAAACTCCTATAGATTGTTAGGAATCGGAGATTACGCATTCCTTCAAAAGCCCCTTTACCTACAGAAACCTCTCCGATATTGGATGTATCAAATGATATCCCTAGGACTGATCCAGTACCCTACAAAATAATATTGCCAAAGAAGACTGATGAAATTGTTATCACTAAAAATAGGCAATATACATATGTAAGAACTTAAACTTACTGTTTCGGTTGTCAGTACATCACAAATCTCATCGGCCTCAGTTAAAAATTGATGTTTCCCGGGCTCGTCAGACTGTTCATGAACTATCTGTCTACCCAATTGTTGTAGTAGATGGTGCATCACTATATGGCCATAAGTAGATTTATGCACGAGAGACTTATCGGCTAGGGTCTTCAAACCATTTCTGACATCCAAGTTACTGTCAGCTAGCATGGTTGTCACATAATCAACCTTTTCATAGTTGAAGAAGCATGCAATGTGAAGGAATAGAGATTGATTTTTCTTCGTTAATCTGTCATAACCCACTTTTAAAATGTCTTCAATTCCTCGATCAAGACTAGCTTCGATGCTAGATAATTGAAGTTCCCACTCTTGCTTGCTCTCCCCACACAAAGATTTACCCACGACACAAAGGCCTAATGGAAGATTGCCGCAAAGCTCTGCTACTTTATTGGCAACCTCTTCAAAGCCATCTGGTACAGAGCTTTGTTTGAAAGCAGAGAGACATAAGATCTCAAGAGCTTCTTCCTCGGATGGAAAATCCACATGGTAGATATCCTTGATCCCATGTGCCTCCAAAATCTTCTTATCTTCTGTGGTAACGATGATCCGGCTTCCAAAACCAAACCAAGAACGTTCTTCAGCCAAAACCTCTAATTTCTTTAGATCATCTACATCATCAAGAATGATAAGCACTCTTTGGTCGTGTAGCCTTTCTTTGATTGCACCTAAATGATGTATCTTCATATTCTCTTGGTTCAAAATCTTAGACAGAAGATGGTTTTGCAACCACAACTTGGAATCATGCTCATCAACACCCATTCTGCTCTTAAGACTTCCCTTGAGGTTCCCCATAATTTAAGTTGAAAACTGCTAGAGAGTTGGTTGTTTAAAGCTCTAGCAATGGTGGACTTACCAATCCCTGCAGGACCCCAAATCCCAATCATCTTGACTTCATCACTTTCCAAGCATAACAAAGAGTTCAATTTTGCCAAGTGAGCTTCAAGTCCCACCATCCCGTCAAAATCCTTGGACGGTGTAAGATTAAGTTTGTTTAAAACATCTGTAGCAATCTTTTGGATCATCTCTGCTTCATAAGGCCTAGCAAAAGCAAAACAAATTCAATTTGGTTGAGAAAAAAATTGCTTGAGAAAGATAAAAAGCACTAAAAATACCAATTAAGAGAGTGTTCCCCAGCAATGGTTGCGACATGTGCCAAAGCTTTGCTCCATCTCTGCTTCAATTCCTCAGTTTTCCCTTGACAAGTCTTCTCGAAAGCTTTCCCGAACTCTCCCCTCTGTTTTTTAACATGAGAAGGATTAACGTCGTAAAAAATGGTCATCAAAATCTGCCCATCATCTTCTTTGCACTTCAAGATTTCAAGCAGTTCATCTAAACACCAGCTTGAAGAAGCGTACTTCTTCGAGAGCAACACAATCGAGACTCTAGATTCTCTAATAGCTTGTACGAGCTCAGGTCCGATCGGCTGGCCTCTATCGATCTTCTCATCATTGAAAGTCGTGATACCTTTGCTTGCAAAGAGATTGTGTAAATGACTGAGAAACCCTCTACGGACATCTGGACCATGGAAGCTCGAAAAGACATGGTATCTCTTGATGCAAGACAAAGAAGAAGAAGCCATGAAAGATCACAAATGCTTGAAGTTGAAGAAAGTATTTTTAGAATGGTATTGGAAAAGCATGCTCCTTTGGTTTATGTAGTGAAGCAAAAAAACGCGTAAAGAGAAGAGAAATTTCGAAGAAGCGTGTTTCTTTATAGTCGTCGAGGACCCATCATGACTCATTAAAGCTTTGCCATGTTCCGGTGAAATGAGCACAGAGTTATTAAGTATCCGATAGTCAAGTTGGTAGAGACGACGAATCACCAAGTTTCGAATGAGCTCTACCACATATCACTTTCTAAATTTGGTTTGAAAAGTAAACCGGGTCTTTTATTTGTTTTAAATTCAATAACAGTAATATCGAATTAATTTCTGCTTTTGGGAATGATGATTTTGGATGTTTAATTTAGGTTTATTCCTGCCATTGTTTTTGTGTGTGTAGTGGATGTATTGAAATAACGTGTGGCTTCTATTTTAACAGCTTCTGTTTCATTGGTGTGGAGGACACTCAGTTTCATAAGTAAAACAAAAGTTATCACACAAATTAGACATGGGCAAATAAACCGATCTGAATGTACCAAAACGACACCAAAATAAAAAGAATTGAACCGAACTGAACCGATAATTTGAAAATAACCAAATGGATACTAAATTCTATAACCGTAAAAATCGTAACCGAATCGGTAACGAACTGAACTATTTCGGGTAACCAAAAATACTCGAAATACAATTATATTTTCAAAAATATTAGTTATTTATACACCAAATAATCAAAAATACTTGAAAAATATATATAAATAGTAAAATTACTCGAAAATAACCAAAAATATCAGAAGATACTCAAAAATAACTGAAATATCTTAAAATATACAAAGCAAAATAACCGAATGGATACTAAGGCCTTGAATGTTTACTAGTTTTTGTAATGGTTTTTGGTTTTTGTTTTTGAAAAACTCAGTTTCACCCATTCAAGATTTTGTGAAAATGGTTTTCCTAAAAAATAGAGAATCTAGTTTTTGCAAGATTTTGATAATTTTCATTGACAATCCAAAATCCATCTTATTTGAGTTTTTCACTTTTTCTAAACAAATTCTCAACGTAACATTCTTTTTTTTTTCATTTTTCTAAACAAATTCTCAACGTAACATTCTTTTTCATTTTTCTATTTTTTTATTTCTTTTATTTTTCCAAAATCCAAAAACCAAAAACCAAAATCTATAATCTAAAAACTATTTAAAACCTCACAACCATTTATGGCCTAAACTTTAAAACCGAAACCGAATCAAAATTTCAAAATGCCCTAATGGGTACTAAATTTTAGAATCGAAATAGCCGAAACCGAATAAAAGTTTGCTGTTTATTCTAAGGTTTATTCTTCTTCTATCCCTAATAGTTTGCTGTAAATGTTTGAGAGAAAGACTATGCAAAATTATAGGAAAATCAGACTTGGATATGGGCCACAAGGGAGTTATTGGGCCACAACATAATTTTTTTTGTAGGCCTAAAATATGTTCTTCTTGTTCATTTGTATTATATTTCTTACTGTATGTTAGTGTATTGTAACCAGAAATTGAAAGCCATTTTTACAATTAACCATATATATATATAAAAAATATAATGTATCTTATAGTGTTATGCACTGATTTTTGGAATCAAATGAAATTTCTAGAAAATCAACTAGGAATTCGTAGTTTAATGATAAAAATAACATTAGTAACCAAACAAATTTTTGAATGAAACCAAACCAAACCACCCAATTTCCAATCAAAATTGGTTCAACTTTACCGGTTAATAACCATCCCGTCTTCTTCTAAACAATTTCAAAAAACACTAAAAAGTTAATTAAACACCCCTCCATTTTCCTCATAATTACATCTCTACCCCAACCACTTTATTCCCTTTCACTATCTTCCCCAATTTCAAATGATCAGATTACAGATTCTTCATTTTCCTCTTTACCTTCTCCAATTTTTGATTAGGGTTTCACATTACAGAGAGAAATGGGTCAGATCCAATACTCTGAGAAATACTTCGATGACACTTTCGAATACAGGTAAGCTTCACAATTTCGCTTCTTCTTCTTCCTCCAATTTTTACTCTCAATTCTCTAACCGTGATCGATCGATACAGGCACGTTGTTCTTCCCCCTGAAGTCGCTAAGCTTCTTCCAAAGAATCGTCTTCTCTCCGAAGTAAGTTTTGTCGCATTGTTCTCTGATTTCTGATTGATCATCGAAGACTGTGAAAATTTGTTGCTCTTACGAATCTAAGTTTCGATAATCGAAAGAGACGAGATAATTTCTGGCTCAGGATTTGAATATTTGCTCTGAATCTGGGTTACAATGTTGTTCTCTCTTCTTAGATTTTGGATTCTTTTGGGAGATGTTGTTGATAGAAGATTATGAAATGGAGATTATAAGCTTGTTTGTGAGTTTTGTAGTTGTTAGTGATGATGATATTGTAGAGATTATTATGTGCAATCTCTTCGATGTTGTATTGGAGTATTGTATTGATTAGTGATGGTAAAATGGTTGGGATTTGTAGAACGAATGGCGAGCGATAGGAGTGCAGCAAAGCCGTGGATGGGTACATTACGCGATTCATAGGCCTGAGCCGCATATAATGCTATTCAGGAGGCCTCTTAACTACCAGCAGCAGCAGGAGAATCAGGCTCAAAACATGCTCGTTAAGTGAATCGTCGAGTGCGTGTTTACAGTAAGTAAGAATATTATGCAACAATTCTATGAATATCGATTTATGTTTCTTGTAAACATGGTTTGAACCTTTGTGGTCATGGATGAATATGTGACTTGGTGGTGGAACAACTTCTATGTTATGTTAGTCTGGTTCTAGTGGCATCTCCTGCTTCTCTGCTTTGTATTTACTTATTTCTCACACATTTCATGGTTGTTTACTCTTATCCAAACATGTGTTTGGTTTTAGATATTTTGTTAAATGGTCACTGGATAGTCATGAGAACAATGTGCCCTATGTTTCTACTCAATCAAAAATCTAGATGAAAAGAGAAAAAGAAAGTAGTTGCTAACGTTTTCGATTCTTTTAAGCTCTAGTTTTTCAGTTTTGAGGTCTATTGGTTTGTAAATAACCATTGTTTTTATTGATTAATACATTTTACATTTCAACAAAAGAAAAGAGAAACTAGTTGCTGTATATATTATCAAATTAGATCTGATTGTGTATATACTATGGTTTTATTCCATTTTTTGGGGGGTCTTATAAGGGTTAATTAAAATAGATAGCCCAAATCTGGAACTTATTTCCAACATAGTTTGACTAGCAAAATTGTAAAGTAGAAAATAGGGGTTTCCACTGTTTGTTGATAATTTTCGGAACTTTTTGTATATAGTGTGACAACACTATTTTACACGATGATAGCAATATAATTTAATTAATAAGGTTATTATTTTATTGATTAAATCCTATTAATTAAAATTTTTGTATATAATGTATCATCGTATAAAATAGTGTCATAATGTAAAATAGCACTCGTCAAATAATCTATATTATTAATTGGAAAGCATTGGATAATAAATAACCTTATAAAGGGTAAATAATTACAAAAAATGTCATAGGTTTTTAGTGTTTTTAAATAACTTCATTAAGGGTACAATAGTAATCACAAAATTAATATATTTAAATAAAAAATAGTTTAATTTTTTTAAATAATTATTAATTTCCAAAAAAAATAAACTAATTTTCTCTCTTATTAATTATAAACGAAAATTTGAAATTAATTTTTTAAAAATTGTTAACCAATAGGAATTGAAAAACTAAGATTTGATATCCAACTAAGATTTTAATTCAAAAATAAAACAAATTTCAATATACTATTCTATATCAAAAATACAACAGAACAATAATATCATTTTAATTCAAAATTAAAAACACTATCATTTAAAAGATTTACCAATGGAGGACTTTAAAATTATATTTAAAATTTTGTAAGAAAATTAAATACAAATATTTTAAGATTCAGTTTTGTTATAATATTTTCACAAATTTTAAAATAATTTCACAATTTCTAAAATACAATATTAGGTATTAACAACTCTTTATATTTATAACGAAATAAACTCAAATAATAATAAATTTAAAGTAATTATCATTTTAGCCTTCGTTTAAAGCAAGTTTGATAAATATCTAACAATAGATTGTATATATTAATTTCTAAATTATTTTGCGTTTTATTTTTTGTTTTTCAACCGGATCTTCCTTAAATAAATTTCTAATATATTGCACACAGTTTTCAAATAATGTAAACTAATTATATATTTTGAATTCAAAACAAATTATGCAGCAATAGCATATCTCTTTTAAAAATGTATCTCAAATTTTTATTTTTAGTCCAAAAATCAAATTAATTATGATTAAACAATAAAAAGAAGAATATGCAAAATTTAGCTAAGGAAAGAAACATTAATAAATTTGTTAAAATATATTTGTAACTTTAGCAGCATATATATTAATCTACAAAACTCACAGTATGTATATGGTATTTAAAAGTACGCAAATAAGAATTTGGAACATGATTTTAATGGAATGAAATGAGAATATGAATTACGAGACGGAATGAGAGGAGAACATAAATTAAAAATCAAACTAAATACCCAATTGGTATGAGTTCAGGTTATGAGCACTATATAAAATAAATTTGTTTACATACATAACCCTGTACGTACGTTTTCAGTTACACATATTCTATTTATGCCGGATACTGGACTGTCATATTTTTATTTCACGTATACAAGACGGGTTATGGGACCAAGAATTTATGACAGATATAGGACGGAATATGTTTCCCGTTCTAAAATAGTTACGCCTAGCTAATATACATGAAATAACCAAACTCAAACCGAATCTATATCCTATTTAACACATGTAATCAAACTATTAGAAATGTTTTGATTAGTTTAGAAAATAAAAAAAGTAACATCATTTAACTTTTGCAACTAAATTATATCTTAGTTTTATCTTAAATATAATTTCGCACGTACTTGTAGGTCCGGATCTTAAAATATAACTATGCACTAACGCAACTGAATTTTATTTATTACTCTAATTTTATATTATTTGTACTATTATAAAGTTCACTAACACAACAAAATATTTTATATTTTTAAAATCTATATAACAATTTCTATAAAAATATCTCTACACGTACGTGTGAATCCAAATCTAATACACTAAAATATATATCATAAAAACAACAAAATAATTTATATTGAATTAAAATTTGTTAGAACTTTTTAAAAAATATGAAACCCCGCACGTACGTGCGGGTCATGATCTAGTGTTTATATATAAAAGAGCAACAATTACTATGTAAAAACAAGGTGTCATCAGATTAAATATAGTGTGATATGTTTATACATTGCCAAAAAAAAACTATAATGTTACTCTTAAAAAAAACTATAATAATAAATAAATAAATAAAACAAGTGCAAAAAACTGTAATGTTCTCTATGATTATTTTACATAAGAAAATATTTAATCACTTTGCAAAGTGAAAAGTCGAACTTGTACCAATCCAATCTATAATAGATTTGGTTTTATTAAGGTTAGTAGTTTTTAAAACAAAAAATAAAAACACAGAAAGAACTAAATCTAGGTTGTACATTCCCCCTACTTCAAACTGATATGATTGGATATTTGGATTGGAATATAATATATAACCAAATGATATCAAATCGACGAAAGATATTGATAAGATTCATAATTTTGCCCTACAAAAAAAAAAAGTAAGATAAGAGAGTTCAAACACATGGAGAAAAAGAAAAGTACATGTTCCAATAAAAGACAAATCAAAGTTATACGAACAAACCTCTAGTTGATGTTCGTATTCACTTGACGCTTATGTTTGCTCTTTGATGTGATAAGACTCAAAAAGACCACACCAAACAAAGACAGCTCAATGTCTCCTTAAAGCCTTTAACCTAACACATGCACAATCTTTCTTCCTTCTTTGTTTTGATGAGGTAAACATTTGCTTTCTTGTTCATTTGTTTTGTGTTTTCTTTAGTAATTGTATTGTGCCCATCAATCTTTTTAACCCTATCAATTTTTTTATATCACTCGTATTTACATCTATTTTAACTATAGTTCACATATACATTTTTTTTTACTGAGACCTTTTAAACCCTATGTTAGGGGAACAAGACATCTTAGAAGAATTTGTGATAACTGTTGTCTAAATCACTAATTCATAATTTACAAAAGATAAGACTTAATATGATCAAAAGGGTGGTGGCTTGGGGGTAGTACAAGGGGGTTGGATTTTTTTGTACCCCGATTCTTTTGGTACAAAAGGTTATTCTTTAAATTGTAATATCTAAAGACTGACTTAAGATACAAGAACTCACACAGTTCATTTAAAAAAAAAAACTTAGTATGAATTGGCATGATGAATTAAATTTAAGATCACTAGGTATGTAGGTTAGCTAATTTAATTAGATTTTTTTTTTTTTTTTTTTTGTATTGGGGTTATATTTGATTTGGTTATATTGCTTGCTTTAGATTAACCACTTGAGACATAAGTATTGAACGTTGCTTCTATCTATACTATTAATTGGGAATCACTCAAACATAAGTAACCTTATTTTGGTAGATTAATTACAAAGAATGCCATTGGTATTTTTAAATTTGAAAAAGAATAAAAATATAATATCCATTTGATATTTGTTTTCTTATATAAAACAAAATCCAAAATTAAATCAACAAATTAATAACTACCCAATATTTATGGAAATTGTTTGAAGTAGTTCCCATAAAATAAACAAATTAATAACTACCCAAAATTTATAGAAATCTTTTAAATTAGTTTCCATAAAAAATCTAACTATTAATTTCAAAATTGTATATATGTAAACTTATTTAATTTCGTAATATATTTTGAAATATTTCCGGAAAACAAAAAAATCAATTTAATATCATCATATATTTTCGATTTTAATTTATTTCTTTAAGAAAATATAAAAATAAATTATGATTAATGGTTTGACCAAAAAAAAAAAATTATGATTAATGGAAGAATTTTTTTTTGAAATTGTAGATATGTTAACTTATTTAATTAGGCGAGGTAATGTTAGATATTTCCGGAAACGACAGTCCAATTTAATATAATTGAAAAATAACAAACAATAGTTTATTTTTGATTTTTAAAATTTCCATAATAAAACTATACTAATTAATTTTGATTAGTTTAGATGGAAGAAATAAAAAAGCAAATTTGATTATTCCAATGTTTTAAGAAACAGTTATTATATTTCCCAAATATAATATAAACTAGATATTTTGTATTTTGAAATATAGAATATTCCTCGAATAAATTAGAGATTTTAGATTCGTCAAAATCTCGAAATATTTTCTGATTTGAATGCAATTCATAAGCTCTAGACAATCCAAACTTTCATCTCATGTTTTGATTTATTTAATTAAATATAATAATTTAAAAAAATCAGTAAATATATATTAGGCTAATAAGACTTTATTAGTAACCTATAAAATGTTGCCCACTACATATAAAATAACATATGTAACACATGTATCACTACATTAAAATTGTCGGACCATATAATAATATAATCAGTTTAAAGATTAATTTAGAAAATTATTATTACAACAATTAAAAAATTATCATGTGTTTTCCCATGGTTAACACACTATTGTTTTAAAACATCTACACACAACTCTTCACTAACCATAAATTTTCCATTTACACCAAACTATTAATACACTACATAAAATAAAATTGTTTTTGTAACACTACTGTATATCAATCAAAACTATAATATTTTCACATTTTATATAATTTTTAACTATTTTTAAAAAAATTTAAGATTTAAAATTTTTTATAATTTACCCCGCACGAACGTGCGGGTCCAGATCTAGTACTTATTAAATTAGCCATCCACATAAAAAAATACTCTCTTTGTTTCACATTATAAGATTTTCTACTTAAACACACACAAAGTTTAAGAAACTATATATGTATTGTTACTTTTACATAAATATATAACTTTTTTTTAATCAATAGAAAAAAAAAGATAATACAAATGGTCATAATATACTAAATAATAAACATAAATTATGCATATATATTTGAGAAAATCTAATAAAATGAAACAGAAGAAAAGTCTAAAACATCTAATATATTACCACATACAGAGTATTTGTTACCACCTCATTACCATTTATTTAATTTGTCTAATATATCACCTCATCTATACTAGTATAATCGCAGCACTTTTTGTGACAGGTGGGTAAAAAAGCTTTCGGGTATATCGGATATCCGACCCATTTTAAAAATTCCTTCACAAAAAATTTGTTGGGTCGGGTTATATTTAACCCAATTCATACACCGGATATTCCATATTTAATAATTTAGATTTTTAGAAGATTTGATTAAGATTTATAATTATGATTCTCCTATCATTTTTGTTTGATTTGTTTTTAACTGTTTTGAATCATCATATAATACATAAAGTAAAAAAAAAAAAATCAATTTTTTTTCTGCATATACTGTGATTCGAAATTTTAAAAACGGACATATATTATCCAATTGACGAAAATGTGTGTTCAACGTTCTACATCGATTAAAATATTTAGACAATGATTCAGAATCATATCATAAATAAGAACATTAATAAAATAAATGAGTTTTTTGGCGGGATGGGTTTGGCGGGACGGGTTTTTGAATCAACAATAATAAAAAGATTAAAATATCATTAATCCGCCGCTTCAATACGGATTTAATCCTTATTTTTTTTAATACAAATCACAGGACGAGTTAAGAAATTACGGAACGGGTTATATTTCGGAAATGATTTATATGGCGGACGAATTTGAATCAATATTTATATACCGCTTTAATACGGGTTAAATCCTCAGTTTATTAATAATTATCTCATGGACTCGTGGTATACCGTTACTTAATAACAATTGTAAACTATAATATAAATAAATATGTTATAAGGAGATACAATTTACAAAATATTTTTATACTAACTTTAAAATTAAATCATCCCACGATGTACCGCGGGTTAAAATCTAGTTATCATTTATTTAATTTGTCTCAAACAAAACTTCATCTCACGTAATTACTTGTTTTAGATAAGCGAATTATATATGCTTCCTCCAAATTAGTTGTAACTGATTATTAGTTTTAACTTTGAACATTAAATGCATGTATATTTGAAGTTAATGAATAAATACATATACGTAACTCATTCACCGCACGGTCCGCACCCTCCTTTAGGCCCCTCCAGTATGTGGTTGAGTGGTGCTACGATGATTAACACGCTCATCTTAAATATGACTTTTAAAAAGGCTTTATAGAAAATTTAAAGTGTTCATGATTATCAATCTATCCAACATTAAAACAAAAAATTATGAATATGGACGGCGATAAGGTGAGAGAGAGGACTTTGCAAAACATACCTACAAAATGCGAACGACCAAAGTAAAAACTTTATGAGATATATATAGTGGTCACAAATTCATAAAATCTATACAAATTAAAATTTCGTGAATATGGGGTCAAGTTCAGCTCTTTGTTTACTGTATTACTACTACACCGCACGTATTTGCATCAAAATCATGGAGAAAAAAATTCAGAAACTGAGGTATTTAGATACTAGTCTCATTTTTATTTTACTTTTTCCATATAAATTGGAGAAATTATTAGTTTCTGAAAATAAATTGTTATGAATTCAGTCAAGATTTAGTTTTACTTAAGAAAATTTTAATAGAATAACATAAACAATATTAATTCACATCAATACTCTAAAAATGCATCAACTAATAAATAATAAAATGCTTTTGAAAAAGGTATTTGGAATCCAGAGAAACACTTTAGATATCTTATTAATTATCCCTTTTATATTTTGAATGAGAAAAGAAGCTCTAAAATATTCTAAGGCATGGGCCCATGATTTAGCCAATGTGCCTAATGATATCTAAGGTTCTATTAACATTGGCCATATTAGCGAATGGTCGGGCTATTAAGCAACATTGAAACTTTAACTAAAGAATAATATGATTGAGTCTATATTGAACCAATGTGGTTCATGAAAATAGTCTTATTTAGACTATGATTGAGGCCACTAACAAATTCCGGCGGCAGATCAAAAAGTCATTCAAACTAGTTAACATGTTTTCTTAAATTTTCAGGGAAATTGGAACCAAGCTTTAGCTTTTCTTTTCTTTTAATACTTTGTTTTCAAAATCATATGGTATTATAGATTTATGTATCGTTAGTGGTCTTCCCTTTTCTGTTGTAATTAATCATTGTTTTGAATCTTTCATTCTATATGGTCACGCCATATCACATCTTTTCACTTTGTTCTTCTTCTTTTCTTGATGGAGAAATATAAGAAATTAAAGAAGATAAGTTATATATACTCATTTAAATTAATATATAAAACTTTCGATTTTTCAGAGCGAGATGCATGCACTTCTTATTTCGTTTTTTTTCTTAAAGGAAAAGTAATTGGGTTTTGTTGAACTTGTAGGTGCATGTAAGTAGTTTCATTTACATACATTAATTAGAAAGTAACAAGATTTTGTAAGGTATGAGTAGCTAGGATTTATGAAAAAACAAAACATTTATTTTAGACTATACTCAGAAATATATAGCTTTGGTGTAATTAAATTTCGAAAAGTCTGTCTTTTTATTGAATACATGCATGCATTCGTTTGTTTGATCGACGTCACATGAATTTTTCTCTTCTTTTCTCAACCAACCATTTTTTTTCCATTAAAAAAAATTCCATAATATAGGCATATAGCTTGAGAGAAATTTAGCAAAATTTATGATGGATTTTTGACAATATAACAACAGAATAATATAGATTTTTTAATAGATTATTATAAAAAATCTAATACGGGATATTGACTATTGGTCTTCAAAGTTTTCTTCTATTCAGTTTATGTTCGTTAGACGTTCGGGCAACAGTGTCGCTCATAATCTAGCAAAGTTCAGTTCTTTCCATGGTGATTTCTTTTCTAGTTCTGTAGATTAGCCTTTGTGGCTTAAACGATTGGTTTGTAAAGATTATTTCATTACTTAATAAAGTATAACAGTTTGCAGGGGAAAAAAAAAAAAAAACAGAATAATATTAATATTGTGAAAATTTGGGTGAACGACCTGTGTCCCCCCACGAAATTTCATATAGTACCATAACAACACAGATTTCGGGTCTCGTCTCCAGTTCACATAAAACGAAAGTTAAACTCCAGTTTCCCCCTAAATTGAAAGTTCGAGACCTCAGTCTCCATAAATTTAATTTTCGTGGTTTATCATTGGTTTACTGTGCCGAACTCGATGCCAAACCAAAACCCAGAATAATAAACTGATTTGAAACCCAATTTGAGTTATCCCAACCCGAAATAAATAAACCACTCTTAAATCATCTCTCTCGCCGAAATAAATACTTGGTCGGTTCAGTCACCGGCGGCGACCGACGAAGCTGTCGGGTTTGGGTTCGTCGTCGCCTTCAACCCAACGAGATTAAACCAACGAATCATCAAAATTTCCTAGTAATGAAGAAAATTTATGCAAATCATGTAAGACTAACAAGAAAAAAGGAAGACTTTGTTAAACTCAAATCTGTTTACAAGAGAAAAAATACTATCTTTTTGAAGACGAGATGATTAATAAACCTTAGCACAGCTCTCAATCTTAAACTCAATTGTTTGTCTCACAATGTAATAGTTTGGTTGATTTTGGTCAACGATGTTATCAATCTCGTTTAGAAAAGCAAATCGGCTTCTTGGCGTTGACCATATTCCTTTCTCTTTCTTTAGCTATGGTTGCTCTGCGTTTCTTCTTCTCCTCGTCTCTTCTTATTCTTCTTCTTCTTATCAGGCTTACCTCGACGTTTGCTATCCAAGAAGCCACCATTGAAGACATCAGACTTGCTTTTAAGGAGAAACGACTAACATCAAAGCAGCTTGTTGAGTTGTATCTCGAAGCAATCTCCAAACTTAATCCAATACTCCACGCAGTCATCGAGACGAATCCTGATGCGTTGATTCTAAATACTTATTTCAAGAATCCCCAAATTGAGAACTCACTGATAATTTCTTCTCCGGTGAACTTCCGACAACGATCCGTCGATGTTCTCGATCAGATTTACCTCTCAAACAACTGGTTTTCTGGCGAGATTCCACCTGCGATCGGTAATTTCCCCAATTTACAGACTCTGTTCTTAGATCGGAACCGATTTCGCGGGAATTTACCGAGGGAAATCTTCGAATTGAAGCATTTATCGAAGATCAACACAAGTGCGAACAATATCACCGGTTCAATCCCTACCAGAATCGGAAACATGACGAGTTTAACAACTCTCGATCTCTCTTTCAAAGATCTCTCCGGAAGAGTACCACTCGGTGGTCAATTCATGGTTTCACGATTTGTGGGAATATCGGGGTTAATGGGTCAACTAATTGGGTTGGTTTCTGGGTAAATCCGGTTTACTTTCGATGTGAAGCGGTTAATTGGGTTTTCGGCACAGTAAACCGAAGATAAACCACGAAATTTGAAATTATGGAGACTGAGGTCTCAAACTTTCAATTTAGGGGGAAACTGGAGTTTAACTTTCGTTTTGTGTGGACCGGAGACGAGACCCGAAATCTGTGTTGTTATGGTACTATATGAAACTTCGTAGGGGGACACAGGTCGTTCACCCTGAAAATTTCGATGGTTGGAATGTGATTGTGAAAGACCAGTCACGAACATTGTAACACACTACTCATTTCTTAATATAAATTGTGGTCCATAAGGAGAAGCTTTTAAAAATTGAATACATTACGTCATTACCTATATCACTTATACACATTTAACTTTTTAGTAGTCTAACAGAACTTATAACACTAAAATACATTTAAATTTTTGGTAGCCATTAAATAAAAATTATTTATTTAAACGTATTTAAGTTGAAACAATTTATTCTATTTAAAAATCATTTTTAATACCATATATACATGTCCGAAACTACACTGAAAATGTCTCATGGTGTTTGCAAGCCAAACTTTCTTTCAAATTCTCAAAAATAGAGAATGAAAATGAAACCCACATACCCAAAATAAACTGAGATACATGGGATCCACATAAATGACATTGTAGGTGTTACAAATAATATGCTGCATATATATCTCCTTTCTCATACTTTTTGTAGGTGTTACAAAGAATATGGTATAACTCGGTCTAATATTTCTCTTTGTTTTTAATTTTTCTCGGTTTTACAATAAGTAACATGATCTTCTTTAATAACTTGAATTAACGTTTAGAGTATTCGAGAAGGGAAACAAAAACAGCCCAAATGGATTAAACAAACATTGAATCGGTTAAATTGGTAAATTTTAAGAGAAATTGTTAATAATGTCCTGTTTCACGCACCCTTTTTTAACATTGCCCCTTTTTGCTTGCCATTTTTAAAAATACCCCTTAATTAATTCAAATATGACCAAAGTACCCTTGCTTTCATAACCTAAGATCTGCACGGTTCTCTCAACCATTCTCTCTCTTTCTCTCATTTCGATCGGCGACGATTTTCCGATCTCGATTCCGATATCTCGATTCCGATATCAAATCGGCGTCTCCTTTCGATTTCGCTTTCTATCGGTGGTAAAATCTCGTTGTTCGTTTTCGATTTGATCTGTTCGATTTCGATCGGCGTTAACATCTTTTTGTTCGATTTTGATTTCTCAGCGTCTCCGTCTCCGTCTGTGTTTTATTTCGATCTGTCCCACATCGATTCCAGGTTAGATTCCTCACTATGTTTTAGAAGCTTTTTTGAAAGGTTTGTCTTTTGGAAGTTAGATTCTGTGGTTAGATTCTGTGTTTCTGTGAAAGTTTGGTCTTCTTGAAGCTTTTTTGATCTCATTATTGACTGATAACGCTTGATTTGACTGCTTGATTTTGAACTGTAGATTTTACAACATTTTTAAAGGTTCGTTCTTAACTTGTAAATGCTTCTTAATGCTTGATTTAGGGTATATCCTCTCTGATTTATTCCATTTCTTGATTTTATAACCGTTAACTGTGGATTTTACAACATTTTTTAAAGGTTCGTTCTTAATGCTGAATTATTCATTTGCTGTAATTTACAACCGTTTTAAAAAGGTCTTAAATGCTGAATTATTCCTTTGCTGTATTTTACAACCGTTTTAAATGTTTTACATTCTTGATATGGTTTTTATGCTTGGTATGTGAATAATTTTCTTAAATCCTTTTCAATCAAAATTCGGATAGCTTTTTACAAGTATTCAGAATGTTTTTAAAAAGTTTTTATAACTCATCTTAAATAATTTACAAGGTTTTTTAAAAAGTTCTTACAAAGGTATTCAAACTTTTTTTGATCCGTTAAGTATTATTATTATTATAGGATCCATAGCTGGGCAACACTCTCTTGAACCAAAGTTTTTAAAAAGTTCTTAACTGTTCACACACACACCTCTTGAACCAAACTTTTTTGTTACATATTGTTTTTTGTTTACTGAATATGATTGTTTTGATTCTGTAGCAGTCTGACAAAGCTTGTCCCAATATAGATGGTGATATTGGTGTTGATGGTGATAGCAGAGAAGGTGATGAATGTGGTCCAAGTAGAGATGGTGAAATTGATGTCGATGGTGATAACAAAGAAGATGATGAATGTGGTCCTAGTACATTTGAAGATTCCATTCGTGAGCCTAACACAGAGGACGGGAGCTATGCTGGAGATGATGAAAACAGCCAGAAGATTCGTTCTGAAGATGATACAGCTGAACCTACAGCAAAGGTATATTGATCTACTTTTGTTTAAAAAGTCCTTGATATCTGAGTATCATTTTTGGTACTAATCCTATGGTTTTACAAGAGGTTTTAAAGTGTTTTAAACGGTTTTACAAGGGTTAATATGTTTTACAAGGGTTTTATAAGGATTTTACAAGGGGTTTTAAAGTGTTTTAAATGGTTTTACAAGGGTTTTAAAAAGATTTTATATAGATCTTACAAGTGTAACAACTTTTTGAAAACCCCTACCCTAAATTTCTCTACTCCAAATTTCATTATTATCTGATAATCATTTTTGGTACTAATCCTATGGTTTTAAACACTTTTATAGGATAAAACCCCTACCCCAAATTTCTCTACTCCAAATTTCAATATTATCTCTGAAGATAGTCAGGATAAGGAGAAGGAAGGAATTTCAGTTTCTGAAACAAACAATGAGGCATGTAAGAAAAGTTCTGAAAGTAAGAAGTACTGTAGAAAGAAGAGATATGTCAGAGAAAGAAAAGAGGTTAGTATTCAATATTATAAAAGAAGATTTCTTACAAAATGAAGGTCAATTTAGAGATATGTTTTAAATGTTTATAATGAAATATATTCAAAGTACTTACAGGGGACTTTTTTTTACTTTTTTCACCTGCAGACAAATAAGCGTAAACAAGGGGATAATTCTTATAATGATATTCCTACAAGAAAACAGGTAAGAATTCAATTTTGTAAAACAATCTGTTCGTTTTTATAAACTAATTTCACAAGGAATGCATTGTTGCATTTCTTTTGTACATATATAAGCAAAGACATTACAAGTTTTACAAATTGTAATGTCTTTTATTACTTCACAAGGAATGCATTGTTTTAAACTGAGTATTCGTGGCATTGTTTGAAATTTTTACAAGTTGTTTTTATAAGTGTTATTTTGTTTTTTTTGTTTGCAGCCTCAGAGAAAAAAATGCAAAAATACTGACAAAGTTGCTGCTGATCTTGGAACAAGAACATGTGATCAAGAATTAGGGGATAAAGCTGATAATGATGTTCCACTAAAAACTAGTCAACAAGATGTAGATAATAAATCAAAAGCTGATGGTCCATCAAGAAGAAGCCAGCGAAGTCAAGTGCCTTCCATTTATTCTCAGCCACCTTACACGGCAGAGAAGAAGAAGCACCCAACACTTCACCCCTTTGCAAAAGTTGACACAAAAAGGTTTGAAAGTTTATGTGAATGGAAGAAGTCGACAAAAAACAAGTGAGTTTTAAGTTTGTAAAACTCAAAATAATATTCATAACGTATTTTAAAGGTTTTACATCATCTCTGACTTTTACAATGTATTTTAAAATGATTTTACAACGTATTTTAAAGATTTTACATTGCCTCATTGGATGTTACATTGACTCATTGGATGTTCTTATAATTATATATATATATATATATATATATATATATATATATATATATATTTGTTGTAGGGTGCTAACAGTTGGGGGAATCAAAGTAGATTCCAAATGGTTCACAACACTAGAAACGCAGGGGAAACCAATATCAGGATCGGTATGTATGATTTTCTTTCAAGTATTCTAATCTTGTAAAACTTTAAAAAACCATTGTAAATTTTAAAGTTCATATAGACTAGCAAACATGAGTAATTTGTTTTCCTTTTTGTGTGTGTTTTTCTTAGCATGTTGATGCAGCTTTACACTTGATCAAAACTAGAAGGGAAAATCATCCAGAAATGTACCTTAACAAAACTGTTGTTTTTGTTGGATCATCTTTCTTAAATGCGATTGACGATGAGTATGCTGAGTTTGTAGTCGCAAAAGATGATTTTCAGTTTAGTTCTGAAGAGATAAGTAAGCTGGAGATTGGAAGCAAGACAAATTACATATATGCTCCTATGTGCTTGAAAGGAAAATGTTGGGTTCCAGTAGTGATCAATATCGAGAGAAGGTCTTTGATCATTCTCGATTACGCGACATCATTTGTTTCAGAAAATGTTAAAAGGATGCATGTGGTTGCATATTCTGTTGCGATGCCGTACATTTTGCGCAAGCTCCTCAACAAAACAGATATGGATGTTTCAGCATTCAAAATATCTGTAGTGGACAATATATCACAGGTAAATTTTGTGATAAGTGAGATTGTAGATTGTATTCATTAAAACCTTTTTTATATGTCTTTTTTTGTTTTTGATGCTAGGCTGAAAAGATTGAAGATACTGGGATGTACATGATGAAGATGATGGAATGCTATGCTATGCATATTAATGCAAATGAGAAACTTTCAGAAGGAAAAATTGGAGACATGAGAAAGAAACTTGCGGTTGACATCTTTACAGAAATAACAGATTTCTAGGTAAGACTTCTCTCAGGTTTTAACATGTAAATTAGAAACCTACAACTAAGCTTATATTTCTTGATTTATTACTTTGATCAGGGGCTAATTGTAAGAGCTGGGAAGAAAAGATTGCTGGGGGAAAAATGATCTGTTCTTTTTGAAGAAAACGTTGCTGTTTTACAAATTTTTAATTTTTGCTGAGAATATCTGTAGTGATTTTCGCATGAATTTTACTTTGTATAACTCTCTAGTTGTGAATTTAAGTTTTTTTTTTCTATGTACCTGCATCTATAACATCCAATCTTCATTTATACCATTTTATCTTTTGATGTTAATTTTTAAAAGCTATCTAAACATTTTACAATGTTAAGTCTTCATCTATACCATTTTAATGTTTTTACAATGTATATGATTATATATAGAAAGAACTTTTAAGGTTTTACAATGTTTATAAGCTTATGAAAATAAAACCATCTTATTTATATTTTTATCAAATTTTTCATGATTCTTTAAATTTACAATTGTTTTACAAAGTATTTTCAAGTTTTTAAAAGATTTTTCAAAATTTTGCAAGGTAATTTTAGTTTTATAATATATTTTTCAAAGATTTACAGTGTGTTTTAAAAGTTTATAACGTGTTTTAAAATGGTTTTACAACCTGTTTTTAATCGAACTAAGAATAAGATAGTTGTAAATAGTTGGGCCGAAATAAAAAAGAAAAAACCTTTAAAACACTTTAAAACCCATTTGATAGAGAAAAAAAAAAATAGAAGGGGAAAAAAACCGATTCTCTCAGTCTCCTTCTCCGTTGAGTACAAGAAGAATAAATTAAGGGTTTTCGCTTAGCTTCACGGCTTTAGATTCTACAGTTTTGGTTCCATCTCGGCTTCTCCGTTTTCATAAGGTTCAATCTCGTCTTCTCCGTTTTCATAAGGTTCAATCTCGACTTTTCGGCTTCTTCGATTTCATCTGCCTAGGGTTTTGGGTTCCGTCACATCAGTCGATTTTACGGTTAAATTACTTTAAAACTTCGTTACTTTTTTGATTCATATGCCAAATTAGGTTATTTCCCCTTCAAAATCGAGTTTTTGTGACATTGGATGATTTTTGAAATTTTGTGATTTTATAAGGGTTTTACAAGGGTTTTTATAGGTTAATAGGACTTAAAAGGACTCTAGAAATTCAATTAATTTTACCTTTGTTTTAAAATCTTTTACAATCGATTTTACAAGCAATTTAAATGGTTTTCAAAAGGGATCTAAATGGTTTGATTCTTTGAGAATGTGTTTTGAGTATTGATGAGACTTTTCACTTTTCACAAAGCTTCCAAGTAGGTAATGATGTTTGCAATGTACTACTCTATTTGCATTTCTAGAGTTGTTCGTTTACATGATTTAATTTTACATGCGTTTTAAAGCTTCTTAAAGCTGTTTTACAAGCAGTTTAAAAGCTTACAAAGGGGTTGTAAATGGTTTGATTTTTTTGAGAATGCTTTTTGATGGAGATGTTTTAATTGTTTTTCTATCTTTCCTGCAACAGAGTGAAAAATGAGTCAACCTACAAAGAGGCTGTTTCTCCCAAAAAGATTGATTGACCCAGGGAATGAGGTGGATAATTTGAAAAGAATATCAAAGTATTCTTCAGAGAAACTTGTATTGAATGTTGTCAAGGATTCACTTAGTCCCACTGAGTTCAATCGGATTCAGAATTCTTTCTTGGGACCAATCATAGATTTTGCGGAACGTGAAGGGATCTGTTTCTCATCACAGCTGGTCCATCACTTTCTTCAGAGAAGAATAATGGTTAACAATGAGGAGTTGTGGTTTGTCTTCTCAGAACAACCCCTCAGATTTTCTCTGAGGGAGTTTGTTATTACTACAGGGCTGCCTTTGGGTGATGATGCATCACAAAGCCAGTCAATACGAAAAAAGAGAAAGAAAGAAGATACATGGATGAAGGATGGTTTAAGTTTGAAAGATCTCCTTAATACCTCGTCTACAAAACGCAATGCGATGGATGCTGATGAGAGGGTTAGGTTAGGTGCTCTGATTCTAGTGGAGGGCATCTTAATTGCTTCAAACCCTGTAAACAATATAGAGAAAGAACATCTGGTAAGAGCTAGTAGTTTCACAGAGTTCTGCAAGTATCCGTGGGCTCGCATTGTTTACGGGTCTTTGGTGGATTGCTTGAAGAAGATAACTCCGACTCAATTGTTTAGAAACCAATGTGGGCTTCCTGGGTTTGTTTTTGCAATCCAGATTTGGGCTTTAACCGCAGTTGCAGAGTTGGGACAGAATTTTGGCAGTCGGGTCCTAGAACCCAACGACAATCGTCCACTGATTTCGCAATGGATGACAACAAAATGCCCAACTAAGAAAGATATAGCAAAAGTTACAAAGGTTGCAACGGTATGACAGTTTTTCTCTACTACTTTTTTCCAACTAATAAGGTTTACAATTGTTTTACTTTGTTATACAAGAATTTTAAGAAGTTTACAAGGGTTTTAAAAAAATGGCAAGATTTTTACAAGACATTTTTAAAGGTTTTACAAGACATTTTAAAAGTTTTTACAAGCTTTAATACAGATTGTAAAACCTTTAAAATAGATAGTAAATGCTTTATGAAATAATTGTGGTTCACATTTCTAACTTAAATTCATATTCTTTTTTATGCAGTTTGATATTAAACATATCATTGGCGATCCTGAACAATATTCTCATTTGGTTCTCCCCCCAAATCCAGAAGACAAGGACTGGTTTGAAGTCTTTGACCTTGTAGTCCAAGGTTATAGGATGACCAGGCAACAATGGATTCATGGATGGATTGAGGTTGCAGAATGGAAAACGCAAAAGCCTGTAAATCAGCCTAGACAAAGGCAACCAAAGTCTGAGACTGTAAATCAGACAAAACCAAGGAAATCAATGTCTGATAGTGAAACACTAGAATTGATCTACAAGGCATGTTTAGAATTGAACAAGAGAATGTTGGTGGTGGAGAAACATTTAGGGATCAAAGAACCTGATGCCAGGGATGATGAAGAAAAGGAATTCCCAGCTTCGTCAAGTGGAGTTGTAAGTGGAAACAAAACGATATCTTTTTAAATATATCTTTGATCTATAGGATGGTCAAATTTGATTATGTTTAAATATATTTTTGGTGTTACAACAGAACAAAAAGACTATC